TCGCTTTGGAGCCACTCAGCAAAAATGTGTACGTGTGAGAGATTCCATGTCAACATATCTGTGAGCTGGACAAATTTTCCTACATTTTGTGGTATAAATTGTGTCTGTACAGTGAAAATTGTGGCCGTGGCAGCGAGTTAAAGACAAAAGTTTTAGACGATTTTAAGAGCCCTCTCCACTCTAGCTCACAGCATTCCTTGCAATACACACCCATTTTAAACTGACAATTTCTCCACTTTTGCTCATGGTACTTTGAGAGGCACAGATCAAAAATGGTAAAAGATATGAAAAAGATGAAAACATGAGTGAATAGATGAGACCTGTGGCAACATTTGAGAGTTGGAATGGTGTCTTCGGCCGAGGTCCCCAATTAACAGGTAAAGTTTTTAGAATCCTGCATAAATCCTATTCTGTAGACACTTTTTTGCAAACTAGAATACATTAATGGAACCAAGATCTAAAAAGAAATGATATTAATTTAAGATGGAGGGAATGTTGGAATTTAACAACAGGTATTATGGCTAATGAAAATTTGCCTTTAATCCAATACAAAATAATGTACAGAACCTATTGTACAAAAGATAAAGTTAATAAATATGATAGTAGTATATCAGGGAACTGTTTTAAATGTGGACTTACAGATTCATTGATTCATGCTTTTTGGGACTGTAGCAAAATTAATAAGGTCTGGTTTGATATGGAATATTGGTTATCAGAAGTATTGGGGGTGAACTTTAATTTCAATCCATCAGCCTGTATATTTCAAGATATGTTACAGGATACAGTGAGGAGAGATGGATTATTCTTTTCTCATCAATTGTATTGAAGAAACTGATACTTAAACATTGGAAATCCACATACCCTCCTATGTTATTACACTGGAAAAAAGAGATGTGTTATTATTTGAACATGGAAAAGACAATAGTCATTGAAAAAAACAAATTAACTCAATTTGAAATCATATGGGGAAAAATAATACAAGCCTTGAGTATATAAAAACAACAAGCGCTTTATATTTAAACATAGATTTTTTTCTTTTCTTTTCTTTTTTTTGTTTTTTGGTCTTGTTAATTGATTATTGTTTACTTTTGTCGATGTTTGGTTTACTTGTAAAAATATGAATAATACAGGACATAATAATTAAAAGGACAGTACTGTTGTGGATATTTCAGCTGGGAAAGCTTGGTGATACTCGATAGAGAGGAATGGAATTTAAGTTATATATGATTCATGTATTTATATTAATATATCTTATTTAACTTGATCATTCATAAAGATACTGATGTTGAGCTTGTCTATCTGATATGTGTGTTGTGCTTTGTTTTGTTTTGTTCTTGTTTTGTTTGTCAATAAGATTGTGGGTCTTTGTTTTTTGTTGTTTTGTATGTTGTATATACTATGTTGACATACATTTTAAAATAACATTAACATTAATTAAGAGACAAAATCATTATTTTAGTTTATATTGTGAAGAATTGTAAAATGTCACTTTTATGTGGTAGTTCAGACATCGACAGTGACAATGTGTTGTTGAATGTTGAATGCATCAAAAGTCCTACAGTTCACTCAGTGTGATAGTGTGGGGGCTGGAAAGCTGTTCGGATCGCACATTCACATATTCAGTAAGAACAAAAAGGTTTGTGGTAATGTTACTGATGTGTGGGGGCTACCTCACCCTCAAACATAAACAGCACCACTTTATCTCACGTGCGCTCCTTTTTAGTTATTAAGTTACAGGAAACTTTATCAACTTTGTGAAAGCTGCCTGTGACAAATTCTTACTAATTCAAACACAACTCAAACTCATTAACACAACTCATTAAACACATTTAATACTGGGGCGCCGGTAGCTTAGTGGTGGAGCGGGCGCCCCGTGTGCAGGGCTGTTGCCGCAGCGGTCCGGGTTCGGCTCCAGCCTGTGGCCGTTTGCTGCATGTCACTCCCTCTCTCTCTCTTCCCCCTTCATGCTTGTCTGTCCTATACATTAAAGGCTAAAAAAGCCAAAAAAATATCTTAAAAAACAAACAAACACATTTAACACTAGAACTGCCAACATTCGAATACCCCCTAGAACTGCCAGAGTGGGTCATTTTTACCCCCCTGCTGTAACAACATCAGCCATGGCAAAGCTGACATATCTTGAAGCAGATAAGCTTTTAATTTTTGTCATTTTAAAAAGTAATGAGAAAGACTTGATAAAATAGCTATTTTCAATTAGTTTTATGTGGTTTGTAATTTGTAATAACAGCAATGACAAAATATTTAACATTTAAATAAGTTATATTTGGATAGAAATAAACAATTTTTGAACAATATTGTTTTACACAAAGAAACGGAGCAGGCGCTCTAGTAACTAGCTCTGGTAACAGTAAGCAGTACAGTGGCACACACACACACACACACACACACACACACACACACACACAATCGGCACACACACTGTACATTTTCACGGTGCACTCCACACACTGCATGGTAGCACCTCATGCACATTTTTGTTTCCAGTTGCAAGGCCCTCTCACAGATCTGGTTGATCTGACACTATAAAAAATAAATAAAATTTGTTTCGCAAGTGCAATTATCTTGCTAGAAACTACTGAATGACATTATATATATATATATATATATATATATATGTATATAGTAAACGGCACAGCACGGTGGGGTGGTGGTTCTCCCCTTGTCAGCATGGGTTTTCTCCGGGTACTCCGGCTTCTTCCCACCGTCCAAAGACTGTGAATGGTGTGAATGGTTGTCTGTCTCTATGTGTTAGCCCTGCAATAGTCTGGCTACCTGTCCAGGGTGTACCCTGCCTCTCGCCCAATGTCATCTGGGATAGGCTCCAGCCCCCCCCCCCCCGCAACCCTCAAGAGGATCACCGGCTAGAAAATGGATGGATGGATAATTAGTAGACATGTTTTGTGAGAGTGGGGGCTGCTGTGACTGTGAAGGTGAAGTGGGGGGGGCTCGGAGCCTCTGCCACCGGAGGCGTGGGCCTTTTTCTGAATGCCGGCTCTGGCTCTTCATCTTCAGATGACCCCTCCTCGCCAGGTGAAAAGGACAGATCATCGGTCTCTCCCTCATCCAGTTCTTCCTCTCTCATTTCCACTGATGTGTCTCCCCCATCCGTCTCTCCCTCAATCACCTCTCCCCCATTTGATTCTCCGTCACTTATGTCCTGAAGCATCGTCAGAGCTTGTTCTACATTCATCCCTTTTCTCCAGTTCATAATTAGGCTACACAATCCAAATCCCTCTCTTTTCCTCTTTTCTGTCTGTCTTACTTTCTGTCTATCTGTCTGTCTGTCAAAACTAGCTTGCATTTCGCAGAGGGTTTTATTGTGACAAAGTTACAAGCATTTGGAAGTGGCAGGGAGGTAAAAATGACCCCATGGCGGTTCTAGTTTTAATAAATAGTAATAGACATTTTATCACAAATTCCTCTTGCATCAGATCTTGTGAAATATGGCTTCCATGAATCTGTTTAGACAGACAGCGCCAGATCAGTGAGGTGAAGCCGTGCTGTGTGCGGCAGAGCGTTGTACAGTCCGAACGTTAAAATGATATTTAAAAAAGAAAAGATCTATGTAATCATGTCCAATATTCACAAGCTGTTTATATCTAACGAAAGATTCTGCTTCAGTCCTTATTTGTTGGCGTGTAGTCTTTGAAAAACAACATTTCCTCATCTTTCGCACATTCTGTAAACTGAGTGGGTTATTGTAACATATATATATAGATATAGATATAGATATACATATTTATTGCTATATTTTTTACTATATCACATATTATCATTACCACTGCAGATAAACTCAGCCATCACAACAGTAAAAAGAGGCACAGTAAACCGCTTCAGCTTCCACACTCACTGCTCCTCCTGTATTGAGTTAATTTTGTGTCTTTAATATGCAATCAAAAAGAATGGATTTGAAAACAAAAAAATATTTTGCAAACAAAATTATGATTTCAAAAATACAAAAAAATGCCCATGAATGAATAAAATATATTTGTGATTAAAATTGTATCTTGATAAATCCACAAGTTTTGTTTACAAACCAAAATATTGTTCTCATGAACCACAGATTCGTTTGCGTTTCCTGAGTTTTCGTTTGCGTTTCTTGAAGTTTTGCTTGCGTTTCTGCATGACTCTCATGGGCGGGACCTCCTCTGAAAACTGTAAGAAGCCTCCTGATTGGTCAGTCTCACTCAAAGAGACGGGGTGACAACTTCCGCCCCCACAGTGAGCCGGCGGTAAGGGAGACACGGAGAGTTAGCTGACGGTGACAAACATCGATCATAACAGGTATGTTTTGCGTAACTTTACTGTCTTATTGATGCTATTAAGTTTACACTTGTCGCTCTTCTGGTGCTTTTTATTCCCAACCAGTAGAGAAAGCATTATCAGACATTAACACTCATAATTCAGACGAACCAGCTTAGCGCTCTGCGCTCGTCAGAAGTGACTGACAAGCTTATTACTGCCCTGGCTTCAGTGACAGTTTGATTCATCTCACAGATAGCAGCTTATTTATGTATAAATAAATACACTTTAATTAGATATACTATCAGAACAAATCATCAGGTGTGTGTGTGTGGATCGTTTAGTCATTCCTGCGATACATTAAGTAAAGAGTTATAAAAGGGGGCATACTTTCACTGATCTTCATCCATTAGTGTTTGATCATAATCCACTTGGTCTCCTGAAGTTGCATAAATGACAGACACTGTATTAATCACTGTTACTGATACCTGAAAGCAGTTAGGTTACTGAGGTACCTGTTATTATAACAGTTTTTACTCATGGAGATTAATTTTCCTTGTCTTCACAGGAGGATGGAGAACCATCCTGATGGACCTCAGGGTCAGGTAGTTTTTTTCCCTCCTCAATTTCATGTACATTTTATCATAGTATTGTCATTGTGGGTGGGGGGGTGGTAAGAAATAAACTATTACCTTCTCTGCATTGTTGCCCAGTAGTATAACAAGCACGGCAGGAATAGATCCTTAATGACACATGTACTCTGCATGATCACATAACAATGCCATGCATCTTAAATTCTTTTACAGTGTGATCGGCGTGCAGTTACCGAAGCTGCTCAGCATTTCATGTCTCTGCTCAGGAGAGTAATACCTGAAGGACAGGGTCAGAGCACCAGTAGGGAGAGGCCAACAGTGGAGTCTGAGATGGCCAGGTGTAAAAAAATAAATTATAAAAGGGGCCAGTTTAGTTGTGTAACATTGTCACTCACATTATAATTTCATATCCTTGTAAGGGATTTTTTATGAAGTGTAAACATATTTTTTGTTTAACAACATCCTTCAGATCCTTCCCTGGGTATTTCAAACGAAGAAACAAAGGTCCACCCACCAGAGGCTACAAACAGGCAAGAACTGTGAAGAAGTGGATTCCATTTGATGTTTGTTTTTTTTTTACTTTCCTCCAAAACGGAGACAACTCCATCCCCTTCTGAGGAGCTGGAGCTCATTCAAGCAGGGCTTGGAAAGCATACGCTGTCTATTACATCAGATGTAACTCATGCAGAGGTGGGATATATAATGAATTGAAGCATACATATATGGTTCAAGTAGTATATTAAGAATGTTAATTGCATGACAGTAGATTAATGCTGTTTAAGTGAAAGCTGCTGTTTTTGTTTGTTAGTTATCTAGTTTACTTGAGGCAGCATATCCAAAGATGAATGTTCTTGAGGACAGATGGCTTCTTTTCAAGGCAGCAGGTGCAATTTCGGTTAAGAAAAATATATATTAATCAAGAAATTTACAGAACGTCATGGTTATTTACTATTTCAATATTGTTTTAATTGTTTTGAAGGCGGAAATGGAAGAAGAAAGATGTCTGCAATCGCATTAGATGCAGAAGGTTACACCGGTTCTGTCATCAGAAGAGCCTCAAGTGGAGGAAAACTTTTGTTATATGTGGTGCTCCTCCAAGATGAGCTAGATTTATCACCTCTCCCAGCAGATGCACCAGAGTTTGCTCTTATGCCAAAAACAACATGCAAACAATGCAAGGCAGTGATGCCACTCCAGATGTTGGCACTGCACATTGATCAGTGCTCCAGCATATCAGACTTGGAAGATGAGGTAATTTTTTTTTCTCTGTTTCTTGGAAATGTAGGCTTGACTTTTACAGCTTTGATCTTAAATGCCTTACTTAAGAGTTATCTGTCATGGTAAGCTTTATCCCAAACCTTGGCATGTCTTTTCAACCTCTTTGCTCAGGAGTCAGAAGTGGTGTTCTTGGATGAGGCAACATCTTCAAGCACAGCCCCAGGGCCAAATTCAGATGTGCCACAGTCCTCTGAGAAACATTGCTTTCAGCAGGTACAGTAACTCCGTCAGTTAACATGGAGAAGGGTTTGCAGGGTGACATCAAAAATGTGTCAAGTATGCATCTGAAGTTATTAAATAAGACATTATACATACATAGTTTCTAGTGTATTATTTATTAACTTCTTATTCATACTTTTAAAATATGTGTTTTAAAATTGTCTTTGGAGCTCATATTCAATTAATGATACTTCATTGTATGCAAGCACAAAGATGTAAATGAGTTACAACTTAGTAAGTGGAAAGGGAAATTTGGAGGAAAAAGTTCGTATTGAATCAACTTTTGACAATTGGTTCTTCCTGACAAACTTAGTCCTTTTTGATAGCCTGAAGTATTTTACCACATTGCAGACTCACATACCCTCTTCTGAACTTTATTGTGTCTACACTTAGGAAAGTGAGGTCAAATGTCCAATTTGCATACAAACATTTCCAGTGTCAGACATTGAGCTCCATGCAAGCCTCTGCAGTGAAAGGTAATTTCTGTTAGATAATCTATTGTATCTCTATTTCTTAAGGTTGCTTGACAATCGTTATATGGGCAGTTCCTAGATAAATTTGTGTTACTAATGGTTTTAATACAAATTGAAAGCACTAAATCTATCATTTTTAAATTATCTTCTGTTTTTACATTAGCATGGAGAAGAACCTTTGCCAGCTTAACACTGCCGAACCATGCTCCAGCCTAGATCAAATATCATGGTAACTATTCAAATTGAATTTGTAATTGGTAAGCTAAAGTGGATTGTGAACATTATTTTTTTTCATTTAACAGTGAAGAGGATGTTCTTCAGTGGGTAATGACACAGGTTGAGAAGGTATGGTTGACAGAGGTCTGAAACTCTGGAAGCGCAGAAAGAATGGTGGTCCACTGAACCCTTTGAAAGTTTCCTTCCTGGGGGAACCAGGAGTTGACACTGGTGCACTAAGAAAAGAGTTCCTGTCCAGTGAGTAGTATATTTTTACTATTCCTGTGGCAGACCTGTGTTGTGTATTGCAGAATAGCACAAACATTTCTTTTAATTAGTTTCTGTCAAACTAAAGCAACAATATTCTCAAATGAAATAGATCATCAACCTCCTGCATGCTTCTTCAGGAGGCAATATCAGAGTGGTCAGATACTTGTTTGTGGTCCATTGTTGCATCAATTTTTCTTCCTTCTTTTGGCTGTAGCAATGGTTGCTGGAATCAAGAGACGACTCTTTGAAGGGGAAAGTGAAAAGGGAAAAGTGCCAAAATACTCTCTGAACGATTTGGATGATGAACTTTTTAAGTATGTTGTTCTAAAATGGAACACTTCCAGTCACCAGTAATTTTTATCTTAATACAATTTTAAGAACATTAATAGTATTGTCATGAACACAGTGGCTTTTGCTCTGCTTCAAATGTTTATGTATTTTGCAAATGGTTTAAAGTACTGCATGACAGTCATATGCAATGCAGATGGTGAAAGTACAGTTGTAGATGAAGAAGGGACATGGTGGTTGTTGTGAACACTATATTATAGTGGTTTGATTTGATTCAACCAATTCCACCTCAGGGGCAAATGTGACCAAAAAAATCTATTAATAGATTGTAGACATTCTGGGCTGTTATGCTTTCAGGTCACAGTGATCTTAACATTTGGCCTTTGACCTCCAGAATCAGTTCATTCTTAGTAAGAGTGGACAGTTATACAGATTTGAAAGAAAACAATACCTTTAACCCTGGATAGTGCTGGCACAAAGGCATAAAAAACATAGCTGATATAGCTAAACTATAGCTAATCAACAGTTATACGTATGCATAAGTTTTATCCTAAATCTGAGCAAATGTAAGATGATGGGGGTGATGCATAAATGTGGTAAGCACCTGCTTCTTCTTCTATCTTTAATTCAGTTCTTGCAATTGCTGATTCCTTGGCATTTCACTCAGAGTTGCAGGTGAAATATTTGCAGTGAGCATTGCCCAAGGAGGACCAGCACCAAGATTTCTGCAGGAGTGGTGTTACCACTATCTTGTCACTGGAAACCTTAAAACTGAGGGAATTCATGACAAGGAGCTGTCACCATTCATCAAAACGGTAGGTTTGGGAAATTGTTTCAAGCTATCTCAATAACTACATTTAGTTTTTCCATCATCTTTGCACTCCTTTAATGTTTATTGTACAAATTAAGCTCAAATTTAAAAAGTTGTTTATTCTTGTAAATCAAGTGAATGGCACTCTTGCCCTTCATGCAAATGTACACAATACATATTCATAATATGCAAAAATGTATAAATGCATATCTTTGTACAGGTTTAAAATAACATGTATATTATACACAGTTGAAAGCTTCATATTTTTGTTATTTTTATTTATCATTTCTTTAGCTCGATGATGCATCTGACCTGTTTCCCTATGTAGAAGAAATCCTGGAATGTGGCTACACTGGTCCAATCAGCGTTGACCATAAGGAACGGATAATAAGGTTTGTATTGCATTTTGATGTATTTGTGATGTTTATGAGTGTCAATGATTTGGAAAATATCAAGTTTATTGTTGAGTCCTTTGACAGTTATTGGATGACTTGATAGTGACACTCAATGATCTCAGGCCCATGCAGTCTGTACGTTTAAGTATTATTGAACAAGGTGCTAAGTCCCAAAAATGTCCACTGATGTCTATGTTTTGAATAATTACTGATCTTGATGATAAAGTGGCACCCTGTAAGGCAGTCACCGCCAGCAAGATAGGAATGCGTGTGTGAAATGCTTGAATGGTCAAGTGGACAAAAAAAGCACAATGTTAAAGCAGTCCATTTACCATCAAGTTTGGATGCAAATTTTTACAAAAGTTTTTGGCTTTTTTTCCTAATTTGTTAAGTAAGAATACTTCAAAAACACATATTAATGGTTTATTTTTTCATCAGTTTACGAGAGAAAAATCTAAATCATATGAATATTTAGTATGGCTGCCCTTTGCCTTCCAAACAGCATCAAATCTTACAATTAAACTTTTCACATCTGCCTATAACTTACAGTGCTGTATAACGTCATGTTTATTGTCATTACATTACATTTTATACATTTCCTTTGAAGGGCTGTTGGTCTGCATCTGACAACAAAACGTATACCGATGCTGCAACAGATCCGTGAGGGCCTTATGGTGTACAATCTGATTGAAGTCATGCAGCGAAAGCCGAAAGAATGTCATGATCTTTTTGTGACAGGATGCGATGACAAGGTGTGTTGAATTTATTTAAATTATTGCCATTTAATATTCTTGTCTTTATAGGCTAAATGGTATTTACATATCATTGATACACAATGTTTATTTTAAGTCTTATAAAGGGTAAAATAAATGTGATAATACACTTATCACTTCATTAGGTACATCTATACAATCTAATGCAATCAAATAAATAAAATAAATTGCTGTCTCGTTGAAACCACTGCATTCTACACCCCATTGCATTAAATTAAGAGAGAATATGTATTTGGCAGAGTTGTTGGATTTTAGAGATGCGATGTATGAAGTGGTCAGTGAACATTACAAAATTAAAAGTTTTTTTTTTAATTAAGTATTAATATTTGCATATCAGCAGAAGGGAGCAGCATCCAGCAGAATTGCATCCCTTGCATCTGTAATAATACCCCCATATTAGGATTCTGTGTATGTGTGATATTTGGTCTTGATCTTATTTGCTTTACTTTTTTGTTCACAGGTGGATTCACATTATATCCTGTCACACCTTGCCCCAGAGATGAGTCCACATGGTTCAGGAAAACACAAGGAGGAGTCCAAAATTCTGGAATATTTTCAAGATTTCCTTCTTGAACTTGAAGGTACACGTCATTTTACAGAAGTTCTGGTCCTCAAAGGAAGTTGGATAAAGCTTCTTCAACTTGAAAAAGGGACTAAATGCTTCATGACTTGATATCCAGATTTTATAGCCTTTGTTACGAGGTACACAGATTCAAGGGATTTATTTAGCAACAATTTAAAATGGTCTTTGAACTAAACACTAACATGGAGAAAACATATTTATGATCTGGCAACCATACTGCTGGCCAGGAAAATTCAAGTTTCATCAATGTTATTGTTTTGTTGTAGTTTCCCTATTTGCCTTATAAATATGTGCTATGTTAAAAGATACAGCTTGCCTGATTAAAAAAAAATTATGATGTCTCTAACTTCAGACTAAGACACTTGTATTTTCTTTACATTTAAAGATGCACAACCAGAAGACGAGGATGGGGAAACTCTGTCCGTTCCTGCAGTGATGCAGTGGATGACTGGGCAGGCTCACAGACATCTGTTTGTCTCTGAGAGAGAGCAATTTAAAATAGCCATAAGATTTGACCACAACTGTGTGGAGCACATGCCAGGCCACACCATATGTTATCCTATTGTTAGTGCCTTCACCAACACCATCACACTTCCAACAGCCCATTTGGGGAATTATGAGTCCTTTCAAACTAATCTGCTTACTGCCATTAAATTTGGTGTTAGCTTCGACAGAGTCTAGTTTCTGAAAGGCATGTGTATTTTCTTTGGTTAAAAAAAAAATGGTTGTTTTTTTTTACCACAGTTGATTTTTAAGTGTTTATTGTTGTGACTATTCTGTCACCATTGTTTCCAAGTTAAAATGTATTGTATATACAGCACTGTATAAGAGTTTTAGGCATGTGAGAAAAGTTTGCCTATAACTATGCAGGTTTGAAGGTAAATTGACTGTAAATCTCAGCTGTTCAAATAAAAGTCAAACTACTTGATGTGAATCACGTCAATTTATTCTAATCTGTTTCATAAAAAAATAAAATGATATTTCACCTTGGTCCAACCAGCTGCTTTCATGACTATCTTCTAGATTTTATACACCACAGGCAACATTGAGAGCAGGGAGATAGATGTCCCCACCAAAACTTGAGGACTCAGCATGTGGATTTATTTGTTGTAGTGCTGAAAGTCTTTCCTCTGACAGGGGGCATTGAATGTCTGGAACAACCACCCCGTGTTCACCGGTGTCAAGGTCGCAAGGGGGCTGCTCTTCTGTTTGCTGGATCTATAATGTCAAATATTCATTCATAAATAAGAGGTACAGTGACTGCAAGCAAGTGAAGTAATGTCTTTACTTAAATGCTCTGTTATCTGAAAATTGTGGTTTTATTTAGTGTCATTTGAGAGAGATCATAATGTATTATAGACTCATTACAGAAACAAAGATGTTTCAGGCCTTTCACTTTTGTTGTAAATAATTTTGCCATCCAGCTTCAAAACCATAATATCAGATTTTTTTCACTGTAACTATCAAAAAGACAAAGGCTTGAAATGGCCTTATACTTAATGGAAACTATTATGTGGGTTACAATAAACTACAAAAAAAAAAAAAAAAAAAATTTCTTTAGATATAGAAGTAGTTTTGACTTCTCATCTAACCCTTTGTACTATTTACTTTAATGACTTTGTACATACCTCTACCAGGTCTGGTTCTGGCATGGGTGCTTGCAACATCCCTATCATCCAGAGTTGATTTGGTGTCAGATTTCCCTCAGTGCGCAAGGGGTGGCAGTTCCAGCTCTCTGTAAAGTGGTGCAGATCTGATCGGAGTCGTGGTATGAAGACATATCCAACACAGTAGAGGTGGACAGCATTGGATATGTCAAGAAATCCGTCTTCCTCCAAACCATGGAGTACATTGTAGTACTGACATGTTACGCTCCAAAGGTCTCTCCATAGCCTTTTCACTCTTGAACAAAGAAAGAGGGACAGGATCGTATGAAAATTTTGTGTAAGTTTTCATTCACACAGAATTTTTTCCAAAGATGCACACTTGTCACAAAACATCTAGAACAGCCTAAAATATGATTGAAAATGTTTCAAGACTTAGAAAATTACAATACTAATAATATATTTAGTCCTAACAATAAGTTAGAAGCATTTTAATATTTTCTGAAATAATTTAATTGTGATATGCAAATACCTCTGGTTATGGACGCTTTTGCCTGCAATGAAACTGCCACGACCTGTTCCTCGTACCGTAAACATGCATCTAGCAATGTCTACATTTTCAACACCTTGATCTGCTCAAACTCTGAAAGAGAAAAACAGACCAGGCCAACTGTATGAATTCCTGGATCATTCACTCATTCTTGGATTTAATCTGATTTTCAGTCAGACTTACTTTAGAAAATCTGACAAGCCTGTTAAAATAAAGCCTGTCTATGATTTAATAACATGAACTTGGAGGCCTGTAATGCTATGCTTAAAAAAGAAGTAGCTTGAAAAATGTAATGGACCCAACAGCAACACTCTGTGGCAACGGGTGATTATTGCATTTTACCGCAGCAGAAAAACTTTAAGGAACATAACACAGAAAAAAGCAAATTACATGCAAGTTAAACGACATTTATATACAAATATGGACCATGAAACAACCCAGACACATTTTATAAATATGGCTTGGACAGGGAGAGGTGATTTCTAGGTTATATATATATATATATATATATATATATACACATAC